GGGGGGGGGGCTATAGGTAATTTTGTGCTATCCTGAAACAGGATAGATGCCAGGCGGGCATATGTCAGGTGAACAGAAATGGGATCAGAGGGATGACGTGGTCCTGGGTTTTGATCACCTTGTCCTGCTGAGCACTTACTGTCTGTACCTGCACATCTTTTTTTTTTTCTGACATTAATATTTTCATTATTCATCCAAAAAGGGCAGTGGGCAAGACATGCAAACATGGGATCTTTGCCCCCAATTTTCAGATGATCCAATATACAGTCGTGAGTTTGTATTAACCTTCACCTTTACCTGAGGGCAACATGGAAGTGAGCCCCTAAGACATACTGTAAGCATTATGAAACCTTCGGGATCCTGCCCAGGATGATCAAAATCTCAGTTTGAAGTTCATACCTGCACAAATATCTCATGTTGTAGTCATGGTGGCACAGAGTATATTTGATGTGGAAGGATTAATGATTTGCTCATCTAGAAAGATTTCTTTTCAGGGGATGTTGGCAGTTCCTTACTGGTGAGATATGACAGTAAGACAGTTTATCTCTGTGCTGTGATTTCTTTCCTTCCTATAGCAAAGGGGATAACATCCAAGGCATGTCATAATCATTTATGAAGTTTTATCATTAAGAGGAATATTCTGAGAAGGGGTGTGTCAGTGCAAACACTGTAATACCCTGTTTTTGTTGATAACCTGCATAGCATTCTCAACCATATTTCTAATATTTGAGGTAGTTCTTGAAGTCAGATAAAGCAACTGGAGTGTGTGCGCAGTGTTTTGGTGTTGTAGTCATCTTCAGATGCCGAGGGTATGAAATGACAAGTCCCTTAAAGGTTTGAGATTTGGGCAGTGTCACTGGAAGCACGGTCAGCTGCCAGCTTGTTAAAGGTCTGCAGCTAAAGTGCTTCGGGAAGCTCTTAGTTGCTGCTTTTGCAGCTGTGAAGCCCTGGCTGGAAAATGGATACTGCTTCACCCTGTGCTCAGCCCCTCTGCAATGAGACTCTGCTGCAGTGGGTGCACTCTAATTTTAACCCTCAGGTCAAACCCACTACCCTGTGATCGAGGTAGCTGTGGTTGTACCTAGAAGACCAACTGAACTGAGCACAAAATTGCCCAAAATTGCCAGGTAGGTCAAGCTTAAATCAGGGCAGGGGAAGGGGTGGAAGTACAGCTGACCTACACTCTGGTCTGTGAGTATCCATGCTGCATCTTGTAGCCTAAAAAAAAGACAGATTTGCTTAATGGAAATGCAACCTAAATTAACTGATGTATCAATAAAACACAAAACAAGACAAGCTTGTGCTGGGGTGGGGCAGAAGGAAGCGAATGGACTTTTTATAGTGTAGGGCACTAGTTAGTGCACTGAGGAAGTAATCAATAGTATAACATGGGCTAAGATTTAAGCTGGTTGCATGCAGAATGTGAGAGAGATCAAACTCATACCTTGCATATAAAAACTCTGATTTATTTACATCAGTAAAAATTAAATCTTAAAGTTCAGTATGGTCTTATAAAACAATTGTATTCCATAAATGTTGTATTCCTGAAAAATTATCCAAAAAACCTGTAATGTAAAAAAACCCCCAACTATTTCTAAAAAAAAAAAAAGTGGTGAGCCAAACTATCATTTTCTGCATACTATAGTTACTCTTAATCTCATGCTTGCAATACAAATTGAACGTAAGGACTTTATTTGCCAGAGTCCTGTACATTAACTGTACAGAAGAGAATCTGTTAGCTATACAGCGTCATGAGTTCATATTACAAACGTGCAGATCACTTCTGGAGAAGCTGTTTCTTGGATATGATGGTTAGTTTGCTGCAGCACCCTCCAGCAGCGGCAGTGTTTAGGTGGGGTTGTGTTTGCAATGAGCTTCCTGATGACCACAGCCTTAGACAAAGCTGGGAAAGATGCTGCAATAGGATGCCAGCTCATGTACCACATCTTCAGGGGAGCCTGGTTTTTGAGGAAAGATGCTTTGGCTGAATCCATGTCCAGCTAGCATGTGTATGAGGAAGTTTCCAGCTTGATTGCTGAGGTGATGTGTTGCTCCATGTGCTGCTGTAGCTCTTGCACCACAGAATTTGTTGCTTGGGGGATATAAATAAATACTTTCACTTATCACCCATCATGGATGCTGGGAAATTTCAGCATGAAACCATAAAGAGATAAAATGATTGTAGTAGCTGAGCAGAAGCTGTCCTCCCACTCTGTTACATTCTCATCTTCAAAACTACATTTAGGCATGCAAAATGCTGGTTTTCTGCTGTCATGTTTCTGGTTTGTTTCTATTCTAGATGGCTACTGCCAACAGAACAGACAAACCCAAAATGCATGCAAAAATGTATTTTTATGCATTTGGGAGAGAACGACACTTCTGACAAGGGGGAAGACTGACCTGCTGAGTTTATCCTGCTGATGATCTTTGCAGTATGTCCCTGGTGATTTTTCCAATTGATTAATAGGGACTGGTGCATCTGCCTGTGTTATTACAAAGTGGATCTGTTGACATCTCCTGGCTGTTCGCTATGGGCATGGCTGCTTTGTCACCTCTATCTAGCTCACAAACCCCTGGCAATCCATCTGTTCACTGCAAGTTCCTTTTTATATTCAAACACCTACCTTAAACATTGCAATTAAGGTTTCCTTGTGTCTGTGGCATAAAATGGCACTGAACTTATTGAAGGATGGTTGTGATTAAGGCACTAGACTAAAACGCGGGGAGTTCAGTATCCAAAGGGGTCATTTGTGCAGCATAAGACAAGCCTCAGTTCCCTGAGGCTCCCTGGGAAGGAGGGCAGGAAGGGTTAAAAGTCCTGTGTGAAGATGACGTGCCCAGATACCACCATCATAAAACTGTAGAAAAATTTTAAACTATTCCTATCAAAATAGGACTGCAAATGGCTTTTTTTCTGGATCTTGTCCTGTACTAAAGTTGCATATGAAAACATGTCAAATTAGATTAATTAACATTGCATTAATTAAAAGTTGCATCTTAATTGTGATGATAAATTAGTTAGGTGAGCAAGATCCAGTAAATTCTGAACCTGTATTCCAATGGGTGCTGTAAAAGCCTAGGATTAATCGACTGTAAATAACTTGTGTTTTTATTAACAAGAATCTGTCTAGACTCTTCAATGAAATTACAGTAAATCTCCTCAAACTGCATAAATCAGAAAGACTATTAACCTGTTCCAGGGAGAACAGGATTCTCCATGGTAGCGTTCTCTTCTTTTACGAAAAAAAGATACTTGTCCTTAGGTGCCTCAGGATTTATAATGTTGTTTGACTGGGCTATTAAAAACTACTCTAATCAGGATTAAGCCTTGTTCTGTGGAAACTAGAGGTGATGAGATTATGTGATAATCAAAGGTGATTTAGAAGATCAAAGACTTTTTGAGGGAATAAGATCCCTAATTTTATTCTTTTAAAAGGGTTTTTTTTTGACTTGTATTTGACCTTATTCTTTCTCTGAATGCTGATAGATACCTAGTGTAAAGATGTGACTTTGCTGAAGCTATTGATGTTTTTTCAATAAAAAAATGATTCAGGATTTTACCTTCCCTCTGGAAATGTCACAACAGCCCTATTTGACAAAACTGAAACTGTGATACCTTCTGAATAAATAACGTGTTGAATAATGATAATTTCTGATAGTTTTTGAACTCCTTTATCTAAACAGTGAAACAAAGGACTTGGCTACAGGTCCTGTCTTTATCAAACCAATTTGCCTCAAACTAGCCCAGCTGCAAAGTGTTTCTTTTGCTCAGTGTAGATCTTTGAGTTAAGCTGTGAAATGCAATCCACAGGAGAAGGAGCTGGCTACCACTCTGCTGATATTTCATTGGATTGTTGGGGCCAGTTTGCGTTTTTAGATGCAAAGCCATCATATTGTTTTCTTGCGAGGAAAAAAAATGGAGCCATGTTTTGGGGGCTTGGGTAAGGCTGCTTCCTCCCTCAGGGCCTCTGGCCTTGCTCGTGCTTTTGTCTTCGCAGATGCTTCTGCTGTCAGTCCCTCTGCAGACCCTGGCCCACAATGGAGAGCTCGGGCTGGGACGTGGATCTGTTGGACTCCTTGATTTCAGGACCACAGAGGCTGTTCCAAGAGTCGCCTGCTTTTCTAGGGCTCTCCTCCAAGCTGCAGAAGGAAAGATGCTTAAGTTAAGAGGCTAATGAATTGTGACTTTTTAAAACAGCACTGCTAAGACCATGTTAACCCACAAAGCACAAATGCTGCATGGTACTATGTCATTCCCTGTCTCCTCCTGTATAGATACATGCTCTTTATCTGCACCATCCAGATTCTGTTCTTGTGATGCATTGTATTTTCTCCTTCCAAAACTCTCTTGGGAAGCAAACATTTTGTATGTTCAACGGGGGATCAGTGTGAATCTGGGTTTGCTTGCAGATTGAGACAGATTTGAGTGAAAAGCCTTGTTCCAGACTCCACTGGAGGAAAAGTCTTACCTCTGTTATGCATCTGCCCAGCTTGGTTACAGTGATTTCTGAGTACACCAACATGACACTGGGATGGATATTCTAGTGGTATAAATCTGCCACTCTGGAGACAGGAGAACTGAGACACAGAAAGTGTAAATGATGTTCCTGAGGTCACAGTGGCAATCTCTAGGGGCATAGGGACTTTATGAATCAAGATTGATTATAGCAGTGGAGCTAGTCATGAATATCTCACATCATGGGCCTTCATGCTGAAATGTGCCCTGTGTTGCTGTAACTAATTAAAGCAGTTTAAGTGTAACATAGGGGAAATATTCTAGAGTTATCTGGGAGTCATTACTTTATTTTAAGTACATAAACTGCTAAAATGAAGTAGCTTTCCACTACAGACAAGCTGTTATGTTCCTATTCTGACTGCTAGGACTTTAATGATTTGAACTGCTGAAAGAAGAGGTTTGTGATACATGATCAGTCATGAAACTAATCCAGATTCAAATATCCCCTAATTGCAGGGCTGCTTGCTTTGGGCCCAGTTTAGTCAACCCAATCCATTCTCAAGCCCTCCTTGAACAATATGTTAAAGACAATAGCATTTAATCTTCTATCTCTGCTCTACCTCTTGGGAGATTAGCAGTCTCAATGAAATATTATTTCGTTTAACTGCATACACAGAAATCCTATTACAGATTAACAGGATTTCTACGAGCAGAGAAATTGTACATGTTAGGCCTTGATGAGATGCCAATAACTGCTGATGGCTGTCAAATGACCAAGCTTAGAAACCAGCAAAGTTAGTTCAGTCTATCCATCTGCAGGCTGTCCAAATGGGAACCAGTTGTACTGACTTGAGCACTGAAACCTGAACCTGAAACTCTCGTCCAGGTATCCTAAGACTAAACACAAAAGCTCTAGCTTCAGTCCTAGTTGGGACTAATGATGTTTTAAGTGTGATATTCCTCGAAGCATGGGATGAGCAGGCGATATGCTTGGGAAAGGAGTGCTTTTTGCCTTCTAGAGGGGCCATGAGTGTGCAAGAGACGCACAGATCTGCACACAGCACTGACAATTAATGCCTGGCAATGCTAGCTAGCAAAATGAGATGGAAGTTGCCTCTTTTTTTGGTGTGTCTGCTAAAATGGGGTGGGTGGGAGAGGGGACTCAGCTGCCTGATGAGGAACATGTTGCTTGAACAAGCTCCTGCCAGATTATCTTTAGCAGTCTACTTCTCAGCAAATGGATGTTCTAATCAGGCATGGAAAAAGTGGAGGGATATATCCCAGAGTTTGGGATCATGAGAGAAACAGGCTAACTCAATGATTTTTCAAAATGTTTTACCTATAAAAGAGTGATGTTCATGAAGGTTTGACTGTCTCCCCTCCCTTCTGCAACTAGTGCTTGAAGCTCCTAATAACACACAAAACCTCCACGCAGACAAATAAAAACAAAGGCATTGTTCTATTTGGAGAGGAGAGGTAGAGCAAGGGAAGGGGTGAAGGAAAGGAGACTGACAGCCGGGTGGGAATAGCTTGTGATTTTCTGAGAAGATGCAAACATGGCCAGAATGAGGAGGTTTAGGTATACAGCATCTGGTTAAGGGAGACCTTTTGAAATTTCCCTCTGTCATCTGAATGAATTTCAAAGTAGAGGAAGCCCTGGATGCTTAATGAACTTGAAGGAGTAAAATGGATCAGAATGTGGTGGTTTGTCTGCTATGGCATCTGCTATAAGAGCAGGGGTCAGTATCTGTGCATGAGGATGTGATGCCCACAGCTGTGGCAACCGTTCCAGTTCTCAGTGGGAGGAAACAACCAGCAGTGATGTGAGGGGCTCTCAGAGCTTTTGCCACATGCTGATCCCTAAAATGGTCCTTCTCTGCCCGTTGGCACATTTGCTGTGATATTTGTATTTTGTGTCAGAAAACACACAGTAGCTATATTGCACCTTAAATCAGTGCATGTGGCAATTAATGGGATAAATTTCCCTTTTGCTCATATTGATATAAATTTGGACTAACTCAGTAGGAATACCTGTGATGTCCATTTGTATAAATGGTAAGCTGAATTAGGCTCAGGATATATTTTGTTCTTCCAAAATGCTGTATATCATAACACTCGGATATAATTTTTTTCATGAAAGAGATGATTTTCTTTACAGTATCTTTTTATATTACTTTCTAAGCTCTGACAGACTAGAATAGAAAGATAATACACCCCATTGAAGCATAAATTAGCTAACAATTTATAATAGGCAGTTTTAAAAACTGATCCATAAAACTGCCAGGGCTTTTTTCTTGCAAGGTTTGACATAAAGCGTCTTTGGAAAACATTTATTTCTGCTAGCGAGCACTGGAGCAGAAAAAGCTGACTTCACACGGTACATAACAACAGAAAACCTAGCAACAACATACAGAACTTTTAGGAAATCTTCAAACATCAGAAGATAATGTAATATTAGAACTGGGAATGAAAAACAGTGCATTTCCCAGTGGCTTTTGCACATTTTGGTCAGCATGTTCCTCTACTGTCAGTTTGGGAAACTTAGCCTTATTCTGTCTTCGGGGAGGGAATGCCTGGGCACCTGAGTTCAGTATCCATGACTGTCCCTGTACTTGCAACTCACTGAGTGCTTGTGCACTTACAAGCGCAATTTTACCTCCTATTAGGGTTGGTTTTACAATCCCTACTCATGGAGATGATTCATATGATTTCAGCTGTTCTGTGACAAGAGTAAAAATACTCCTCTCGTGAGGAAAGGTTACCTGAGAAGGGCCTTAATCTTCTTGTGTAGCTTAAAGCAGTGGTTCTCCACCTGTGGTCCGCAGACCCCTGGGGGGGCTGTGATGTTGTCACAGTGGGGTCTGTGAAGGCTTTTTAAAGCAAGTGTGGGGAACGTCCAGCCCGGAAACATTTGATCTGGCCCACGGCAAGCCTGCACCTCCTCTTCCCACAGCCCCCTCTCCTCAATGCTCCTCTCATACTCAAGATCACAATCCCCCCACTCCCCAGCCTGCCCTGACACACAGTGCTAATATGGTTGGTGGGACCCACTTTGACTAGGCAGTTTTTCTCCTAAAGACATTTTCTTAACCCAACAGCGCTCTTTAGGGCCACAACAGGGCTGAAGTCTGTTCCTTCGTTGTCTGTACAATGAATCTCCAGTACCTGTGGGGGGGCGTTTCCACTTCAAAAACTGGGCTTGGGCTTTGGACCCATCAGACTTGCAATCAGTACCTAGATCTAAAAGCTCTCATGAGAAGCTCAAAATTTCAAGCTATAAGGATCCATATAGATCCTTGACTACAGGATATCTGTCCCCCATACTTGCCAGCTGATTTGAAACGTTCTAATACAGATTTCAGCTGAACAGTTCATTGTCTTAGAGGCTGATGTTAGGAACAATACCCTGTCTCTTTGTCCAAGCCCACCTTCTCATGGTTATTGAAAGATGTTTATAACCTGAGAGTTAGTTCAGAGCTTTTAAAAACTGAATGTGGGTGTCCTTAGCCCCCACACAAATAAGTGGAGTTCTGTGCCATGAAACCAACACAGAATTTTCCCTGGGGTGACTGTCACAGCAAATGTGTATGTGTAAGGCTAAAGCAAGCCGTGGCAAGTTAACTCTTCCCTTTATTCAGACTAGTAGTCTATTGAAATCTGGGCCAGACAATAGAATAGAATATTTCAGTTGGAAGGGACCTACAATGATCATCTAGTCCAACTACAATGTTATCTTTGCCCAGCCATCTGTTCTGCACATGAACCGGGAACCTTTCTGGGAAAGCCCTTAACAACATTAATTTCCCATCAGGAGTTTAGAAAGCCAATGCAGTGCTATAGTTCTGCTTTCCTGGTCTAAAGTGGAAAGTTTCTTACCTTGCTTGGTTAAGCATGGGTTCGCTGCCAGATGTTACGGGAACTGGAAGACGAAACTGGGCCCCTGGTCGGCGGTCAGAGAAACTTCTCTTCACGAATGGCTGAGGACTGGTGGCACTCAGGGACAGCTTTCTGATCCGATCTCCAGGCTGCCGGAAAAGCAGACTACTCTTTTGGGAAAGCGATGAAGCTTCAGGCTGGCTGGTCATCTCCACAGTGGGTTTGGTGGGTACCAGAGGAGGTTTGGCTTCAAATAAGGAAGAGGTGGCTGGGCAAAATATTGAACGGGCGTTGCTGCCCCTCTTGGAGGATGACAGCTGGTGCTCGTCCCCAGCATCCGGCCCAGCTCTCAGCCCCTTGTAAGAGCGGGATGGGGAGGTTGGTGGGGAGGGGGTGATGGGGAATGGAGGGGGGCTTGCGTCTCGGCGGTAGGCTGGGGAGCCCAGCAGCTGGTGTGGCGTTGGCGAGCTTTGCTTGCGCCCCGCGGGAGGGCTGAGTGGTTTTCGCTGGGGTGGTGGAGAGGGCAGCTTCTTCTGCAAGGGTGGGCTGGGAACGCGGGGGCTAGAGGGAGGACTGGGTTTCCTCTGCATGGTGGGTGAGCTTGTCTGTGGGTTGCTAAAAGCCTTCAGAGAGCGTCTGTGGTGTGCTGGGGGGCTGAAAAGCCGTTTCTCAGTTGGTGGAGAAGAAGGAGGAGTTCTCGTTGGGGAGACCCTCCTGGCAAAGGATGATCCTTTTTCATTTCTCCTGAGCGAATCAGGAGAACCGTGCTTCTGGTATTGCACTGAAGTCGCTTGTGAATTGGGCTCTTTGCTCTCTGAGCTGTTGCTGTGTGGTTTTGAAACTCCACTGGGATTTTGAAGAGGAATAATTTTATGGGTTTGCTTGTACAAATCCGCAGCCTCTTTTCTCTGGGTTGCCAATATCTCCTCCTGGCTAGGGATGTGCACGCTGGTAGGGTTCAGCTCCAGAGAGTACCTCTGCAGTTTCTCGTCCCCTGCTCCGGTATTCCTTATACCTTTATTAGTGATCACGCTGGGGCCACTGATATTTTTACTTGGCAGTAGGTCAATGGACTGAAGGGAGGCTTTCATTTTTGGGGAAACTTGTGATTTCTTAGTAGCATAAAATTCTGTTTTGGTGGGCTTTTTGGCATCTTCTGAAGAGTTCCCTTCTATTCTTGCAGTTTCTTCAGGCTCACTTAAGTCAAAAGAAGTGTCCATCAACATTTCAGGTGGTGGTGGTGGCAGGTTATCAGTGTCTTCATCAGTCTCTTTCTTTGTGTCCTTCTTGCTTAGTTCTGCAGCTGGTCCAGGAGGAAAGGCATTTGGAAAGTTAGAAGAAACTCCATTGGTGTTTGAAGGGTTTGTGCCTTCTACTGGTGAAATACGATGCTTAAGATTTAAAGGTGCCAGGCCTCTCTGAAAGGGAACGGTGGGTGGGATGACTGGAAGTCCAAATTTTCTGATGCACTTTATTGGTCCTAAGGATCTTAAAGGTGCAGCTTTTACAAGATCGTCAGTAGGACTGAATGTTTCAATAAGCTTTTTGACAGACTGCCGGGGGGCACAGCTATTGCTACTGAGCATTTGTGCTCCAGGAGGCTCCTTTTCTTTGCCTTCTGATGTCTCCTGGGGGGGCATAGTAGCTCTTAAAGGTTTCCAGCCTCTTTTTTCATCCAGCTGATGGGCAGGATTTTGATCAACCATAAACAAAGGGACTTTATCCTGGTTAGGCAGGATGCTGAAATTTTTTGAGAGGCACGCCTTCAGTTTGCTAGAGGACCTAGATGTAATTTGCTCATCCTGCAAGTAAGGTGCTGTTCTTGATTTCTGAGTCTCTGGTTTGTTATCTGTGTCCTTCTTTCCATAAAACATTTCCAGCCTTTTGCTTAGCTCTTTCTGAGTTCTGTGAAGCTCTAGGAGGGTTGGGTCCTCTGCCTGGCTTCTGAGGGACTCCTCTGATCTGGACCGTCGTTGTTTCCCGAAGGTTTTCTGGCTGCCCATCGCTGTACTGGGCCTTGTTGTTAGGACTGCTCTTCCGCTCTCATCCTCTATCCATTCTTTACGTCCAGATTTAGCTGGGACAAACTTGATTTTTTCACTGATGGCATCTTTCATCTTCAGAATAATTTCCTCTGTCTCTGCATTCTCAGTCCTCTTGATGGACTGCCTTTGTGTGTTATCAGTGACTGCAGGTGAAGACAGGGGCCTCCTTGGCAGAGTATCCTTCCCCATTTCTGACAAACTTGTGTTGTCATCATCCTCCCCCAGGGTACTACTCCCTTCGTCATCATCATCAGAAGGAAAATCTGTTGATTCACAGATTTTGAAATGTTCACCTTCCTGAGTGGAGTCAGACTGGAATGAATGGCTTTTGCTCAAGCTTGCATGTTGGGGCATGGTAGAAATACCTCCTGGTGCTCCACCCTGACAAGAAGTTGCTTCCTTACTCTGCATGGATGAATAAGATATATCATTAAAATTCCTTTCAAGTGCACAGTCGTGGAATGCAGCTGTCCCTGGTGACACTGCCCCATCATGCACATGCCCCACTGTTCTGGTGTGCTTTTGAGAGATATGTCCATATGCACAGGAATCACATGCTTGTCCTCCATGCTGGCTGAGAGCACTGAACTCTTTGAGGGATTCATTGTCCACACCAATGCCACTGTCCTCAGAATAGAGAGTCCTGTCATCACCGCGGGACTGAGAGGATCCCACCGTCAAGGCTTCCAGCAGCCTTACTGTCCGTAGCAGGCGCTCATCAAAGCTTTGCTTTGCTTTCAGTTTTCTTTCCAAGTTGCTTGCAGCAGACTGCAGGTAGCTGCATGTTTCCTTCAGGGCGTCGGATGTGAGGAAGGCCAGCGTCCCACTCAGTGACTGCATTTTGTTGACTGTGTACTGCAGTAGTTGTTGCAGAAGATCAGGGTGCTCCTTCAAATTGCCTTTTTCTGCTGGCCATGCCAGATTCCCACCCACATCTTTGAGAAGATTTTCCCCATCATTGGCAACTTCTTCCAAGAGCTGGTTGATTTCATCAAAGCGAAGCATCAGAAAGCTTACCATCTGCTGTAGGAAGAGCTGGGTTTGGGTAGCCTGGTTGGCCATGTGAAGTATAGTTTCATACTTGGAGAGGTTGGGATTTAAGTAGGCGTACGCACTCTGATGAGCCTTAACAAGCAGTTCTGGGAAATCTACCTTTTCCTCCGTCTCACACAGGGCCAAAATAGACTTTTCTTTAATTTTGCTAGGTCGACCTTGCTTTGCCAGCTTATTACTTTTTTGCTTCTTTCCTTTCTTTGGGATTTGCTTTGCATTGCTTTCATTCTTGTCATCCCAAATGAAAGCTGATGCTTCTGATTCACAGGAGCTTTGCTTTCTGATCTGTATGGCCTCAGTGATGTGTTTCTGAGACTCAATCAGTTTGGACATAGCAACTTCAGCATCTGTGGCTGTCCCCTCAATTTTCTTGTCTTCCCTGGAAATCTGGGGATCTGAGTGAGCCTTGGAAGACAACTGCAAATGATAATTTTTATCCTGCTCTGATAGTTTATCCTCCTTTTCTCTCGTGTAGTCTTTTGTCTGGATCCCATATTGGTGGAATTCATCCAGATTGTAGCAAGATGTACCTTTAACTAGCAGAGGGATTCCTTTATCTCCTGGATCAATACGCAAAACACTTTTGGGTTTATTCAAAGCCTTAAGACTACTTCTTGCAATAGTATTAGCAATCTCACTGCGAGAAGGTGTGCAGCCCATCTTTTCTCTGTCTTTTTGATTAAAAATCCAGATGAACTAGGGAAAACACAACAAAGAATCAAACTCACTCTTTCATCCCGAACTGCAGACTGGTTTGTTTCTCATGAGTTTTCCATCACAATCCCAGCTTTGTTGTCAGTTTTCATTGTTGTTTATCTCAGTCTCATGTTCTTACTGCCTAGGATCTGCTCTTGAAGTTCCATTGTCCATTCTGACTCAGGTTTTCTTCTTTGATTCAAAAAATTAGTGTGAAAGCTCTGCTGGATTTAGAGCTAATGGATTAAGAGGACTTGCGTGCCTCGCTTCTGTCTTGACAGATGTCCATTACAAGTAAGATTTTAAGCTCATTAGGGTAAGCAGGCACCAGCCAGTCAGCACCCATGTTGTATTTATAAAGACAGATTTTTTGCTGCATTATACTGGGAGGCAAAAAGACTTGGTACCTGTCCCTCCTTTTTTCCCTTGTTGCAAAACATAGCATACAATGGAATGCAGAGATCCAAGGGAAGAGATTGTAAATTGAAGCCTTTCTAAAGTGAAGCTATTTGAACAGTCGTGTAAATGCCACTAGATACTCCTTCACCAAAAGAAAGGTGACCTTGACTGAGTACATACCCACTGGAAATACAAGACACAAAATCAAATGGGTTAAAAGATGTCTGCTAGACTTCTGCTTTAAGGGTCTTCAAAATTCTCTCCTACTTGCAAGTAACAAGCTGTTTACTTTTTCATTCTAAGACTTCCAAACGAGATTTGAATATTTTTTTTCTTCCTCTCAGGTGATCATTCTTGGAAAGTATTTTTTTCTCTTCTACATAGCTTCCTAACCTGAAAATCCAAATTGCACAATAACGGTATCTGTAGAATTAGTTTTGCATATGTTAACATGGTGTCTGCATCTAGTGGATCTATACTGTAGAATTTCAGATTAAAAGAAAAAAATATTTTTTTTCCTTCCTCTGGATGTCCTTGGATAAAATTTGAACTCACAAAAGTGACTTGCTTACAGTTCTTACTATTAATGCTTACCTTTATTTTCATTGGCCAGGGCTTAGTCCTGTTAACTGCAAGACTATATGGGTTAAAACTCTAAGAAAAAAGCTAACAAATTAAAAATAGAGAGCCATTTCTGAAAGAAACCCAACCCAACAAACTGTTGTTTGTATCATTTCTGAGGTCAGGACAGAATAAGACAACTCTGAAAGAGAAATTAAAGAAGCTAAAGTACGAATTGGATGAAGATGTTTAGCTTTTCCAAGTGATTATTTATGAAGGGTGATATGTGGATGAGGGTGATAACAGTAATCACGTCCAGTTTCCCTCTTCATTACTCAGACTGGCCTAAATGGATTCATCTTCTAATTTCCAGAGGCAGCTCTTCTACTGAAGATGGCCATTTCTCAGTGTCACAAAGGTTACAGACAATAGTGGCCAACTCTGACGCTGGCTAGAAGCCTACTGCTTCTCTCTAGCAATGTGATCTCTAACTGTGTGGTCACGGGTATCTCGTTTGATTTGTAAATCTTTACGTGGTGCCAAGCCTATAAAACATTCTCAGACTTTAAAGAGCTGCTCACATGTTTCATTCCTTGATGCTGCACTGCAATAGCTGAACATCTGCATGGAAAGTCATTATTCTCTGTTGCATTATTGTTCAGAAATCTTTTTCTCTTCAAAAGGGTCAGCAAAATTATCTTGTTTTACAGGGGACAAGCCATTGTCCTGGGTGATTCCCAGGAAAAATCGTAAAACTCTATGTGCTTTCTTTCAAGTAATTTTTCCGGAACACATAAATTGTACTTAATATACATGATGGCATAATCATTTCCCACAATGCTTTTCTGGAAAGCATCAGGTAATTACTTCCTGGCTCTGCTTCTTTCAAGTCATGTAACTCATGCTCTGGCTGCTTATGTATCTTGCCACGACGTGGTTTCTATACAATGGCCCCAGCTCTTTTTGCATTCCCTTTTAGGCACGTGTCTAATGGGTTCAAAGTGGAGAAACAGAGCAGATTTAGGCAGCTGTTTTATCCTAGTGATCCTAAGAGTCAGGATGCTATAGCCCTCTGCAGTAAGTCAAGGAAAACACAGTAGATCAAGCAACTAGCCTTAGTGCACCTCTGCTGTTTACAGTGGGAGTTGAGAGACATCTTTCTGTAGCTGCTTATTTTTTGTGCTATAAAATTTCTTGTGACTCCTTCAAAAAGCAGTTCCAACAATTCCACTGTTTGCACTGGAAATTTTGACAATTAACTTCATGTGAGTTTTTTGTTGTATTTGGGAAGATCTTTTTCTTCAGTCTTTCCTTTGGTTTTACAGTCAGGTCACTTTTTTTTTTTTTTTTTTTTTTGCATTAACCTCTTACAGGAAATACATGTATTGTTAAAAAAAATGAAAAATCCTGGTTTATGATTATTTACTCTGTAGTCATTTATTATTTTAAATCAATATTCAGTTTCTTATTTATTTATTAGTGAATAGAGATCTAGAGTAATAGAAAATGTGTTTTAACAAGGCATCGGTTTTATCCTAACTTTAATTGCACTTTGCACGTATATGTGACTATTTAATGTTGCACCAAATTTTTTGGCTTGAGAGAGAAGAAATGTTGATGTGCCTGTTTCTAACCATGTATGAAACTGCATTTTCCTCATCAATATTCTTGTTACTAAGTAGTTATATATTGCTTTGCATGTCTGAACCACATTAGAAAAACCGAAATGCTTTACCTCATGGAAAATGCGAAGGAAAATGCTTTGTCTCATGGTCACGCAACAAAAGAGAAGACAAAATGGATACGTTAGGTAAAAAAGAGTGATGGAAGAGAATATCAATGAGGAGAATGACAAGGAAATGTTTATGAGTATGAATTTGTAATGTGTAATTTATGATTGCTATATGTTGATGTCATCCCTAGTGCAGTTACTATAGTAATGTATTTTGGTTTAAGGTGCTACTGTTTGCAGAACACAAGTTGAAAAGGAAACAGTTGGTCATGTCCAAGTAGATGCCCAAGTGTTGTTACCTGTGTACTTGCTGACTTGAGCAATTTTACAAGTACCCCAGATGAACACAAAACTGTGTTTGAGGAACAGACCTTTGGAAAGCACCAAAAATAAGATAATTAAAGATTAAAGGAGGCTTTTCCTTGCATGTGGACTGAGTGTAAATTGCCTTTGCTTTTCCTTTCATAGGCTTTCTTCCTATCAAAATTAGGAGTATTGTTGAGGGAGCTGCTGGGTCATGTAGCACTCCTCAAGGGAAGAACTTAAATGTTCAAACCCTGTCAGATATAGTTGGTGCAACAGGTGATTAAAACCAAGGACTAATAGTGCCACTTCCACCACAAGTGCCCTAGAAAAGGCAAGAATAAGGCCTGAACCTGGACAGAGATATATGGCACTCAGACCCCAGAAGTGTTACCAATGCTCTAACTATGGGATGGATTTTAGGGCCTTTTATGGAGTCAGTTGATTAAAAAATGTTAAGATATTTCAGTGTAAAACTAGTAACAGAAGCTTAAAAATTATGTAAACAAGGAAAAATGATAATGAGGGACTGCTTTTGAGAGGTTGTGGGCTTTAAAAGGGGAATGTGCATAAATGCTCATAGCGGGTCTTAAAAATTTAAGATTTGTATTTGTGGATGGCTTCTGGGGAAACTGAATTTCTGCTCACTGAGGAGTTACGCAGAGCCTGAGTTTAAGGAAGTATTTTACTCTGAAAGAATCTTGCTTTTTCTTCTTTTGTACCAGCTAATTGAATCGCACCAGGGAGTTGTTCATATTGTTGGCCTAGATATCACTAAATAAATAAGAAATTGCTGCTTTTTGTTTCAGCTTCTCCTGCAAAGCTGGCACTGTTCTTGGAGACGAAGTAGATTCTCTCCTTTCTGTAATCGCTAACAGAAATACTTACTGAGCTTCATCTTGTTTCCCCTGTGGAAACCTGTTGACAATGGTAAGGAATAGGAATATCATGGTTTGAAGGAAATCTAGTTGCAAAGAATTAAATGAAACCAGTGAGTCTATACAGAGCCTTTATTAGGGGTGATGGTGGAAGCAAAAGGTAAAATTAATCTTGATTCTGGGTCAAGGATACACTTTTCAGAACTGGCTATCTGAAGCTCAACCCGTGCCTTCTCTTTTTTTCTTTCTGAGTAAATTGCTTCAGACTGATTGCATGAGAATAAATATGAACTCAATGCTTTCCAAATCCTGTTTGGCAAAAACAGAGCTGTTTTTTTACAAACAGCAGCAGGACAAGAAAAAAACAGTTATTGAAAACAGGTAGGAAACGGGTTTTTTCCACTTCAGAAAAAATACTTTATAAAGGAATTAACAGACGAAGAAATATAAGTAGAAAATTAAAGAAAGTCAGTTTGGGGGTTTTGCCTGCACAAGGCTGTTGGTATGCTCAGATGACCCAAAGGAGTCAAGAAAATCTGTATGACCACTTGATGTCAGCAGTACTTTTGTGAGATATATTTACATTTGTCTATTATTTTTGGAATATGTATTCTGGTCACTTAGTCATAGTTTCTCTTTGCTAAGAAAACCATGGATATTCCAAAGCTTGCTATCTGTTATAACTAATACATTCACTGCTTGTTTCAATGGTGAAGAATCTATAGAAGCGAGTGCAGCTATTTAGCCTCATGCCTTTTCCAGTGCTCAGTGGGTTCCCTCACCTAAAGCATCTGAGGGTTTCCCTGAAAAATGAGCTAGATGCAGAATTCCTCCTGGCTTCCTCTGGCAGAGCGTCCAAAAGCACAGTGTGTGCACTGATAGCTGTGTGAAACCACATCAAGCCCACATGTGTCTGGGAGCATGGCAGCTGCTGCCTGGCAGCGTGGTGTGCTGGGGCAGCCGTCCTGGTGTGAGTCCTGACAAGCGTGTGTGTGGAGCAGATATTTATCTGAAGAGAGGATGATGTCCTTTTGCTGCCTAGGCACTAATGAGAGAGGAGCTGAGTGGCTCCTGATGAAGTGCTAGGCTCAAGGCTGTGGATCCAGAAGCGGTGGATGTGATCTGAGGAGCTGGGAGTTGGCACACCTAGCAGAAACTGGAAACGGCAATTTATACGGCGAGGCGTGGGCTGAGGCTTGGAGGGAAGAGTGGCGTGTCCCTCAGGAAAGAACGGGCAGGGCTGGAAAGACTGATAATCACCGGTATCCTTTTTTTCAGAAGAGAAACCTGACTGTGAGTGGATACACAGCTTGTTTCACACTCAGCTCTGAGGGTAGCTACTGGAGTACCACTGTCTTTTGAACATGCTTGCTGTTCCAAAGCCACACTGAAAGTGGTACAAAGGGTGCTCACTTTCAGAACCTCTCTGCTGCCCCAATCCTTGCTCTAGAGTGGCTCTGCTTGAAGCGGCAATGTCTTCCAAAGCCATTTCAATGATCCCTTTCCTCTGACGTATAAATTTGTGAAGAAGGCGGAACTGGTTAGTAATGCCCTATTTCTGCCCAAAGGAGAAACGAGAAATGAAATAATATTTTAATTAAAACAGGCTTGTTGCTCACAAGCATTGTTTCCCCATCTTCCTCTTGAGGTGCTCAGAGCTGCTGCAGCCCATTGTTTTGAGCTGTTCAGGTGCTCAGCAACTTTGCTGCCCATGGCAGCACTAAATGACTCAGACAGGATAGGCTGAACAGACTTTTATTTAGACTCATATCCTGGCACGTAGGAGTGGCTGAAAAAGATATTATGAAAAGGTACAGAATGAGGTTTACAGATTTTTTATTTTTTATTTTTTTTTTTAATTTCCATTGCAGGGCCCAGGGGTGGAAGTCAGGACAGGCAGGGATTTTTTCAGGCAGCAGTGTCCAGTCTCCTTTGCGGTTGCAGCACTAAGTCATAGGATTCAGTCTGAGTTAAAATGTTTGGGATTTTGCCTTTACTGCTCCAATCAGAAGGATGTTCTAGAACCTGAGATGTTTTGTTAGGTGCTTGTTTTGATTCTCTAGCACAAAAATATGCACACATTTTTATCCTTGTATTTAACATTACCTTTGAATTCACACACTGTTTTCCATGGTTTATGGTAGATGACAAGTGTACCCCCTGTCTCAGTTTTCATTCTGCTGCATTAAACGAGCCATGCTCTGGTAACCTCCTAACATAGACTGTTCTTTTCCTTGGCTGTGCTGGCAGATCACCTCTGGACATGCTAGGCTAGCTGCCTCTCACTGAAAAAGAGTGGTCAGAACCACGTGCAATTTCCCAAGGAGATGGCAGAATTTGCTGGCCTGAACACTGTCCTGCCACAACCCTCCAGTTACGCATCCTAAGATAAGCGTTGGCTTTTCATGCCATTGTGTTGTATTAGTAGTGATGCTCATTGTGTAACTGTTGGCTCCAATGGCATTTTCTTTCTTGGTCACTTCCATATGGTGACCCCATACATCAATCTTATTAGTTAATTCCGTCTAACAGTAATTCTTTTATATTTTATTTTTCTCATCAGTTTGCTGGGTTTTCTGTCAAAATCATTAAAGGAAAATATGAAACAAAGATTAGTTTTAAGAGTAATACCCCAAGATGTCATTGGTAACTTCTCTCAGCCCAGTACTTTCCACTCAACACTATTTCCCCCTGTGCTTGCGCTTTACCTCCACCGAAGTTCTCCTAAATTCTAGCTTTCTGCAGACTTACTAATAATTTCCATTTCAGGCACTTCACTAAAGCCCATTATTCAGTATCAGCCATAAGACATTCCTTTGCCCAGAACGTCGAGGATCTCAAAAAAGGCAGACATCAGCTGCCAATCCTAAGCTCACATTTGATCTCGCTTACATCCATGTCTTTGGTTATCCTTCAGACACTTTTTCTAAAGTATCCTAGAGGAGAAAATAGAAGGCCTGCATTCTCCTGGATTACAATATTTCTTTGCCTTTTCTGAAGTGTGGAACATTTCTAAGAAATGGAGGAAATATCTTAGCTCTTCTTTAGCCATCTGGTATCATGTTTACTACCACAGCTGCAACTCCATGTTCCACTTTCAGTTTTCAAGTCTCTGGGATCCAAAAGCACGTGCAGCTCTTGACTCTTCCAGTACCTTACTTGAGATTTTCCACTTGTCATTCCCATTATTTCTCCTCCCTCCCCTCCCCCCAATTAATGGAAAAACAACAACAAAAACCTGATTATGAACATCAGTTCTATTTACTTAATATTGATTCACACAGAGCATAAAACTGTACCAGGACTTGTCTGATTTTTTTATTGAGGTCAAATTCCCCTCAAGTGGCCTGGGCTCAAGGCGTAGGAAAATGGGTTTACCGCAGCGGCATGGGTTTTTCTTAGAGATGATCAGTCTTCGGATTTAGATCCTTAGCAGGATTGCAGCACTGGATAAGCACCCCCTGGAAAGCCTCCTTGGAAGCTGCTACTGTTGTTCCTCCCACTGGTTACCAAAATAACTGGCAAGTCCAGGTTTCCGAGTTCTGTGCTCGCACCTGCCCGTGATTATTCTGTGTGACCCGAAGCCAGTCCCTTCAGGCAGCCGGCAGTGCGGAGCCATCGCCTGGCCTCAAGCACTCGCGAGCGCTCGGCGCTGCAGCCCTGGGTTACCAAGCCCTGTGCCGCCGCCTCTCCCTGCTCCCCATCTTTCCTCCCGGCCGTACCCCCGCGCCCCATTTCTCTCGGGGGCTGCGCGGAGACCCGGGATGCCTCCCCTGCCCCTCCCCAGAGCGGAGCTGCCTGCCCCGCCGGTCGTCGACCTTCTCCTTCCCCTCGGCTTTGTTTCTGAGCGCGGGTCAGGGCCGTCCCCGCTGCGGGGCAGGGGGTGAGGCCGGCAGACGCACTGTCCCAGGCCCGGGCCACGCC